ACTGTTTTTACAAGCAAGGAGGGAAGCGCTCACAGCTCACAACAAATCAAGAACAAGGCAATGACATAGTAGCAATGAGGGGAAAACTACTCTAAAAACTCATTTACAAGGCATAACAGTTTGTTTTGAGAAAACTATTGTTGAATCATCGTGAGAACGCATTTCAACTCCTCCTCGAGAGGAGGGCTTTCCTCTGTTTGGATTGGTTAAAGTTTAGATCACACCTGAATAAGAACTTTTGAGTTCAGTAACTAAAACCGAGCCAAGATTCTCCTGGAGTGACAACATCCAGCACCTCCCCCAAACTCGTCCCCACCACCACCGCCCTCTTCCCCTAACCTCGGCTCCCAGGCTTCACTCGAAGGTAAGGTGAAAGCCTGTGGCTACTCTTAACCTGGTCTAACAACATGGTACTTCACAGGCAATGAAGAAAAAAGGCAACGAGAACAATCAAATCAAAAAACGACTCACCAACTTTGACCATTAGTAAACAAATAAATAACGCTATTACCAAAAATACATATACATACATACATACTACCAGTCAAAAGTTTGGACACACCTACTCATTCAGGGTTTTTCTTTATTTTTACTATTTTCTACATTGTAACTATGAAATAACACATATGGAATCATGTAGTAACCAAAAAAGTGTTAAATGAAAAAATATGTTATATTTGAGATTCTTCAAATAGCCACCCTTTGCCTTGATGACAGCTCTGCACACGCTTGGCATTCTCTCAACCAGCTTCATGAGGTAGTCACCTGGAATGCATTTCAATTAACAGGTGTGCCTTCTTAAAAGTTAATTATTTCCTTCTTAATGTGTTTGATACAATCTGTTGTGTTGTGACGAGGTGGGGGGGGTTTACAGAAGATAGCCCTATTTAGTAAAAGACCAAGTCCATATTATGGCAAGAACAGCTCAAATACGCAAAGAGAAACGACAGTCCATCATTACTTTAAGACATGAAGGGCAGTCAATCCGGAAAATGTCAAGACCTTTGAAAGTTTCTTCAACTGCAGTCGCAAAAACCATCAAGCGCTATGATGAAACTGGTTCTCATGAGGATCACCACAGGAATGGAAGACCCAGAGTTACCTGTGCTGCAGAGGATAAGTTCATTAGAGTTACCAGCCTCAGAAATTGCAGCCCAAATAAATGCTTCACAGAGTTCAAGTAACAGACACATCTCAACATCAACTGTTCAGAGGGGACTGTGTGAATCAGGCCTTCATGGTCGAATTGCTGCAAAGAAACCACTACTAAAGGACACCAATAAGAAAAAGAGACCTGCTTGGGCCAAGAAACACGAGCAATTGACATTAGACCAGTGGAAATTTGTCCTTTGTTCTGGAGTCCAAATTTGAGATTTTTGGTTCCAACCGCTGTGTCTTTGTGAGATGCGATGTGGGTGAACGGATGATCTCCACATCGCCCCAGGTCTCTGAAATCTACAGGAATTCAAATGTCTAATCTGTATATATATGTATATGTTTTATCCTTTGAGAATAAATAGTGATTTAAAAGAAAAACAGATCAGTTGTTGAACCGCTCTGCTCGTGATATTCTAATGCCGTTGATGTTGGAGGTTGCTCTTATCCACCTCGAGGACTAGATGCGATAGCCAGCACGAGATATGCAGCAGCCCAAATCACGAAAAATCGCCATCCTCGGGTACAGATCCGTAGGAAAGTCCTCGCTAACAATTCAGTTTGTGGAAGGCCAGTTTGTTGACTCATATGACCCAACAATAGAAAACAAATTTACCAAGATGATCACGATAAACGGACAGGAATACCACCTGCAGTTGGTAGATACAGCGGGACAGGTAGAAGTGGACACCACAGGGATTTATTTATCAACACTGAAAACATCTTACAGACCTTGAATATAATATGTCCTTCAACTAACTAATAATATGTCCTTCAACTCAAAACTGTTCGCTGCTCTGGCACCCCAATGGTGGAACAAGCTCCCTCACGACGCCAGGACAGCGGAGTCACTCACCACCTTCCGGAGACATTTGAAACCCCACCTCTTTAAGGAATACCTGGGATAGGATAAAGCAATCCTTCTACCCCCCCCCCCCCCCCCACACACAGCGGAGTCGCTCACCCCCTTCCGGAGACATTTGAAACCCCACCTCTTTAAGGAATACCTGGGATAGGATAAAGTAATCCTTCTACCCCCCCCCCCCCCCCCCCCCACACACACAGCGGAGTCGCTCACCACCTTCCGGAGACATCTGAAACCCCACCTCTTTAAGGAATACCTGGGATAGGATAAAGTAATCCTTCTACCCCCCCCCCCCCCCCCCCCACCCCACAGCGGAGTCACTCACCACCTTCCGGAGACATTTGAAACCCCACCTCTTTAAGGAATACCTGGGATAGGATAAAGTAATCCTTCTACCCCCCTCCCCACCCCCCCCCCCCCCCCCCCACACACACAGCGGAGTCGCTCACCACCTTCCGGAGACATTTGAAACCCCACCTCTTTAAGGAATACCTGGGATAGGATAAAGTAATCCTTCTACCCCCCCCCCCCACCCCACAGCGGAGTCACTCACCACCTTCCGGAGACATTTGAAACCCCACCTCTTTAAGGAATACCTGGGATAGGATAAAGTAATCCTTCTACCCCCTCCCCACCCCCCCCCCCCCCCCCACACACACAGCGGAGTCGCTCACCACCTTCCGGAGACATTTGAAACCCCACCTCTTTAAGGAATACCTGGGATAGGATAAAGTAATCCTTCTACCCCCCCCCCCACCCCACAGCGGAGTCACTCACCACCTTCCGGAGACATTTGAAACCCCACCTCTTTAAGGAATACCTGGGATAGGATAAAGTAATCCTTCTACCCCCCCCCCCCCCCCAAATTGTAAAGTGGTTATCCCACTGGCTATAGGGTAAACGCACCAATTTGTGAGTCGCTCTGGCTAAGAGCGTCTGCTAAATGACGTTAATGTGCCCTTGAGCAAGGCACTTAACCCCAATTGCTCCTGTAAGTCGCTCTGGATAAGAGCGTCTGCTAAATGACTAAAATGTAAATGTAAATGTGTATTTCCCACCGTAAAGCATGGAGGTGGTGGTGTTATGGTGTGGGGGTGCTTTACTGGTGACACAGTCTATGATTTATTTACTGGCTACCACAGGATTCTACAGCGATACACCATCCCATCTGGTTTGGGCTTAGTGGGACTAAGATTCCAGGCTGTGTAAGGGCTATTTTACAAAGAAGGAGAGTGATGGAGTGCTGCATCAGATGACCTGGCCTCCACAATCCCCCGACCTCAACCCAATTGAGATGTTTTGGGATGAGTCGGACGGCAGAGTGAAGGAAAAGCAGCCAACAAGTGCTCAGCATATGTGGGAACTCCTTCAAGACTGTTGGAAAAGCATTCCAGGTGAAGCTGGTTGAGAGAATGCCAAGAGTGTGCAAAGCTGTCATCAAGGCAAAGGGTGGCTATTTGAAGAATCTCAAATATAACATATTTTTTCATTTGTTTAAGACTTTTTTGGTTACTACAATATTCCATATGTGTTATTTCATGTCTTCACTTATTCTATAATGTAGAAAATAGTACAAAATAAAGAAAAACCCTTGAATGAGTAGGTGTGTCCAAACTTCTGACTGGTACTGTGTGGAGAGAGAGATAGACATAAAATAAAAATGTGCAATGGTTCCAGTATCCTTTCAAACTAAATCTTCAGATCTCTATAAGCGTTTATATTTATTTTATATCTTTTTTTTTTTTATTGTTCTTGACCCTTTGTACCACCAACCATTCTTCAATACCAATGTAACACTGCGCTACCAATACCCTTGGTTTAAACCTGCTACCCTGCAGGTTCACTACTTGAAAACTAGATGGGACGCTTTTTAGAAGCCAGTTTTCAAAAGGAGACTTATCTTTCTGCACCATCCGTCAGTGTTGTGTCCACTCAGACAAATAGACCCAGCTCTCTGTCAAATGTTCATTGTTAACTGAGTACCTTGAGAGAAATGTGTGTGAATACTAGTCTGGTGTTCCAGCTATCTGTTCGATGTAAACCGTTTCTCTACCATACCACCCATTCGGTTAGCATCATGCTAACCCTACCACAAGCCAAGCATGGAGTGACTGGACTACCGTTTCAGACTGTACTATCTAAGCAGGCATCCTTGGCACTGGAGCCATCTATGATACACTGCCAGGTCTGTCAGCATAACCACGAATAGAGTAATCAATATTATTATCATCAGCTTTTAGGAGTGTAAGACTGATATAATATACTGTAGGCTGTAGGACTCCTATCCCATGAGGCTCAGTCTGTGGAGGGCATCTCAACACAACACCTGGCAGTCCCATGGCAATTCAGTGAATCTAATACACATCGGGCAACCTAAAGTCAGTCAACCACCCCATCCTCTCAGGAGAAGAACAACAATTTTACAGAAAAACAGCGTTAATAATCCCCTTCCACACACTGTCAAACACACACAGTCACACACTTTCATTCTCACACACAATCGCTCTTACTAATATCAATCTATCAGCACTGAAATCATTGAAAGCCTCTTAGGCAGGCCATAAGTAAGGAGAGGTTCTTTCTCTCTCACATAATAACTCTTCATGCTTACTGAGAACCCACCTCCCCTTCTGACCCACCAACCCCCCACAAATGAAATATTACTTAAAATAAATACTGCATCTAAATGAGGTGAAGAAAAAAAAGAACACTGCAAAAGAAACCAAAAGCAGAATCCAAATCAATAAATAATGCTTATGCCCAAGCAGGCTGGCCTAGCCGGGCCGCCTGGTGGTACAGGTCTGTTAGCGTTAGCTGGTTAGCAGTGGAGCGATAGAGGATAAAGAGGTGGCGGCATCGTCCTTCTAGAAGTCTGCTGTAGAACATAACGTGAAGACTTGGCTTTCATCAGTCAGACACTGGAATAGGGTTGGAGGGGTTGTGTGTCAGTCTCACAGTCGGGGCATGTGGGCTCTCATACCAGTGAAGCTGGGAGACCAACCACCATAGGGGAGTCTGGGTAATGTAGGCCCCAAAGTGGCCCTCCGACAACATAGCGATGATGACAGGGAAGCTTGAATGGCTCCCCCATGAAGCCCAGTCTCAGGGAGTGACGTGGAGGAGGCTGGGGGGTAAAAGAGGATAGGAGAAAGTAGGGGGACATGGTTTGTACATGGAGCCAGGCTGAAGTGGGGGTAGTTGGGGCTATGCTGAGGGAGGGGAGGGCCCTGTCCAGGTTTTTTTGCTGTTGTGGCCCTCTGAGGCCCCCCTCTCTACCTGTCCTTCTGCTCCTGCATTACTCGCTTGGTGATGCGGCCACACAGCAGGCCGAACAGGAAGAGAACGCACACGCCCAGGCCAAACATAGCCAGGATGTAGTTCTTGGAGGGTGATGTCATCACCTGCATGGCCAGGTCTGAGAAGCCTTCGGCTGGGGCCACCTGGGAGGGACAGAGAAGGAGGGGAGCAGGTGTGGGTGTCAGTCAAAGTATGGAAAAGTAGAGAGGGTTCAATGTGAAATTGTGTGAGTTCAATGCTAGACCATAGGAGGGTAGCATCCACTGTAGTGTCGCACGGTATACCGGTAATATCACGGTACCAAAACCTCATGATCCCAACATTTTTGAATACCGTAGTACCGTTTCATATGATAGTGCAGACTTTTTCAGCCCTACCGATCTAAAGAACCTGCTGGCGCATGTTTTAAAATGTTGTATAAAGTCAGTTTTGTTAAAAAATTCAGTTGAATTTAAGCAACAGCCACTAGACTATAATATCCACTATACTTTAATGCGCATTTCACGTGTGGCAGCTGTAATCAACCAGCTGCATCCCCTACCAGCCCTCACTCACCTGCTTCTCTCAGCCTACTCTTCATGTGCATCTATTCCTCCATCAGTTTTTTAAAATATAATTTAGCTGTGATGGTGATTGGGGATGCAGACCCAGACCCTGATGAATCTTCTGTTGTTAGATTTGTACATTTGTTACATCGGAGCAGCGAGCAAAGCAAGCAATGTGGATACATTGTCTTATTTCATCGCCTGTTATAACCAAGAGCACAGACCAGTCTGAGTATGTGAGCGGAGCTGGAGGAGAGCGTGCCCAATTTGACTGGAGCGCGGAGCGAGATTCCCAAAGGCGGGAGCGTCGGCCTTCTCAACCGCTCCAATTTCCCTCCAATAGCGCTCACTTCACGAGCTCAGGGCATGCTCGGCCCAGCATGCATTTGCAGTCTACTTGTGTGCTGCTATAGACCCTTGCTTTAGCTACTGTCATGGAGTTCGCTAAATATTTTCAAAGAAACTGATAGAACACACAGGTGCTAAATCAAGGTGACTTACAAAGATGTGGACCAAGAGCAAGAGAGGGAGAGCAGTGATGTAATGTCCACAACTAAATAATCACTGTGGAATCTGAAAATACATGATGGTGTACTTACTATATGCATATGCTAAAAGAAAGGAATGAGGTGGGTAGATAACTAAGTGTGTCATTGTCACAAAAGTATTTATAATATTTAAAAAAAATCTTCTCTCTTAAACGTTTAATTCATTTTTGTTCTATGATCTATACAATAGGCCATAATTGATTTTGGCCCAATAGGCCTGGCATATTCCCATGTTCAAGGAGCTTTCCGTTTTGATTGGGTTATTTTGCCTAAAAACCTTCAGGCCTACCTATAGAAAAATAAAAAATAAAACTACATCTCTGCCCAGCCTGGCCAAAAGGGTGTTTAGCATCCCCAGTGGCTCTGCAAGTATGGACAGGATCTTCTCCACTGCTGGCCTGCTCTCCAGGCACCATCGCATGAGACTGAAGCCACAGACTGGCCAAACTCGTGTTTCTAAAAATGATTTAAAAAGGCACTAAGTCATTTTTCATTTCATTTCATTCTAAGTAAGTCACAGCCTACAGTGCCTTGCAAAAGAATTCATACCCCTTAGCGTTTGTCCTATTTTGTTGCATTACAACCTGTAATTTAAATGGAATTCTATTTGGATTTCATGTAATGGACATACACAAAATAGTCCAAATTGGTGAAGTGAAATGAAAAAAATTGTAAATAATCAATAATGGAAAAGTGGTGCGTGCATATGTATTCACCCCCTTTGCTATGAAGCCCCTAAATAAGATCTGGTGCAACCAATTACCTTCAGAAGTCACATAATTAGTTAAATAAAGTCCACCTGTGTGCAATCTAAGTGTCACATGATCTCAGTATATACAGTTGAAGACGGAAGTTTACATACACCTTAGCCAAATACATTTAAACTCAGTTTTTCACAATTGCTGACATTTAATCCTAGTAAAAATTCCGTTTTAGGTCAGTTAGGATCACCACTATATTTTAAGAATGTGAAATGTCAGAATAATAGTAGAGAGAATTATTTATTTCAGATTTGATTGCTTTCATCACATTCAGAGTGGGTCAGAAGTTTACATACACTCAATTAGTATTTGGTAGCATTGCCTTTAAATTGTTTAACTTGGGTCAAACGTTTTGGGTAGCCTTCCATAAGCTTCCCACAATAAGTTGGGTGAATTTTGGCCCATTCCTCCTGACAGAGCTGGTGTACCTGAGTCAGGTTTGTAGGCCTCCTCGCACACGCTTTTCAGTTCTGCCCACAAATGTTCTATAGGATTGAGGTCAGGGCTTTGTGATGGCTACTCCAATACCTTCACTTTGTTGTCCTTAAGTCATTTTGCCACAACTTTGGAAGTATGCTTAGGGTCATTGTCCATTTGGAAGACCCATTTGCGACCAAGCTTTAACTTCCTGACTAATGTCTTGAGATGTTGCTTCAATATAGCCATATAATTTTCCTCCCTCATGATGCCATCAATTTTGTGAAGTGCACCAGTCCTTCCTGCAGCAAAGCACCCCACCAGCATGATGCTGCCACCCCCGTGCTTCACGGTTGGGATGGTGTTCTTCGGCTTGCAAGCACCCCCTTTTTCCTCCAAACATAACAATGGTCATTATGGCCAAACAGTTCTATTTTTGTTTAATCAGACCAGAGGACATTTCTCCAAAAAGTACAATCTTTGTCCCCATGTGCACTTGCAAACCGTAGTCTGGATTTTTTATGGCAGTTTATGGAAGAAGGTACTCTGGTCGGATGAGACTACAATTGAACTTTTTGGCCATCAAGGAAAACGCTATGTCTGGCGCAAACCCAACACCTCTCATCACCCCGAGAACACCATCCCCACAGTGAAGCGTGGTGGTGGCAGCATCATGCTGTGGGGATGTTTTTCCATCGGCAGGGACTGGGAAACTGGTCAGAATTGAAGGAATGATGGATGGTGCTAAATACAGGGAAATTCTTGAGGGAAACCTGTTTCAGTCTTACAGAGATTTGAGACTGGGACAGAGGTTCACCTTCCAGCGGGACAATGACCCTAAGCATACTTCTAAAGCAACACTCTAGTGGTTTAAGGGGAAACATTTAAATGTCTTGGAATGGCCTAGTCAAAGTCCAGACCTCAATCCAATTGAGAATCTGTGGTATGACTTAAAGATTGCTGTACACCAGCGGAACCCATCCAACTTGAAGGAGCTGGAGCAGTTTTGCCTTGAAGAATGGGCAAAAATCCCAGTGGCTAGATGTGCCAAGCTTATAGAGACATACCCCAAGAGACTTGCAGCTGTAATTGCTGCAAAAGGTGGCTCTACAAAGTACCTTCAAAGTGGTAGGCATGTTATGTAAATCAAATGATACAAGCCCCCCCAAAAATCTATTTTACATTTACATTTACGTCATTTAGCAGACACTCTTATCCAGAGCGACTTACAGTTAGTGCATACATTATTCTTTTTTATTTTCATACTGGCCCCCCGTGGGAATCGAACCCACAACCCCGGCGTTGCAAACACCATGCTCTACCACCTGAACTACCTCCCTGCCGGCCATTCCCTCCCCTACCCTGGACGACGCTGTGCCAATTGGTCTCCCGGTTGCGGCCGGCTACAGCAGAGCCTGGATTCGAACCAGGATCTCTAGTGGCACAGCTAGCACTGCGATGCAGTGCCTTAGACCACTGCGCCACATTTTAATTCCAGATTGTAAGGCAACAAAATAGTAAAAATGCCAAGGGGGGTAAAAACTTTCATAAGCCATTGTATATGCGCAATTTATAGACTATAATGATTTAATACAACAAAATGTTGTTTAAATGCTGAGCCCTTTATGTCCCTACCAGCCTATTGTGTCGCACTCGCAAATGCTTCACAATGTATTTCTTTGTAGGCTGTAGCCTTGAAGTAATTGAAATAATATAGCCTAAATAATTCATTTTCGTTCCTTCCTCCTTCGGCTCCCTGTCTGGCTCCTGACCTATTTAGAATGTTTATATGCTGTTTAATATGACATGTAGACTATTTGAAATGATGTGCGCTTCTTACATTCACCTTTTCATGTTTATTAAAATACTTTTCATTCAAATCCATATGATTTGGTTTCAATACTTGAAAACCAAATGGTAGGTCCAGGGAGTCACAAAATTAGATTGGTGTTGGTTAAATTGTGATTTTAATGAATGAAGCGAATTTGGAGTGGCAGTTTTTTTTACTGTGAGCACGGAGCTGTTTTTAGCGGAGCGGTTGGAAAGGACATGGAGCTCCAGAGCGGCGAGCAGGATTTCCAACCGTTCAACTCCGCTCACATGCTCTGGTCTGCAGCTTTACATCTAAGAAAATGGCTTGTCTCTAGCCTAAACTGTAAAAAAAATAAAATGCCCCTATTACCAGAGATGCCTTATTTTTCCTTTCTATCGGGATTCGGGCGCATTTGATATAATTTCACAAACCATGTCGTGGGCCATTTTATACTAATCCTGGGTTACTAATTATTGGTGTTGTTCAGTCCTCTTACCTAGCTAGCTAACAACCTGGTAATTTGACAGTAGGTTTAAGCAAAGTTGATTGTCACAGGAAGAAAGGAAAATGGTCTGCTACTCATGAGATGTGCTTGAAAAGGTAAGATTCATAGAGGCCTAATGTAAGCCTAAACTATATTCAAAAATAAATATTTCTGGTGCTTCTTAAATTCAGTTTGTGTGTGTGTTTATGAGAGTGAGGGAGACAGAGAGAGTGTGTGAGGAAGGGAGGGAGAGCGTGTCTCCGTTAACTGAAGAGTAAAAAATCAAATCAAATCACATTTTATTGGCCACATGCGCCGAATACAACAGGTGCAGACATTACAGTGAAATGCTTACTTACAGCCCTTAACCAACAGTGCATTTATTTTTAACAAAAAAAAGTAAAAATAAAACAACAAAAAAAGTGTTGAGAAAAAAAAGAGCAGAAGTAAAGAAGGTTTCATGCAGTGTTTTCCCCTTACCGACACAATGAAATGCAGATCATTATGAATGTATATCATAGGAGGTTGGTTGGACCTTAATTGGGGAGGACAGGCAAGTGGTAATGGCTGGAGTGGAGTAAGTGGAATGGTATCAAACACATGGTTTCTATGTGTTTGATACCATTCCATTTGTGCAATTCTAGCCATTATTATGAGCCGTCCACCCTTCAGCAGCCTCCACTGATGGGGTGGGGGTCCATAATAAATACAACTACTGATGTATATTCCTTCCACCAATTCCTCCAGCCAAATCTCAGGTAGGCCTTTGCAAATATGAGCAAATCAGCCATTCTATGCAGTATTATATTATACACTGAACAGTGTGAAGTTAAATTGAAATATGTTGTATTGAGTAGAAGTGTCAATTTCAGTGACAGGTTTTTGGAGAACGTTTGGGAAACATAAAAAAGCGTCCGGGGGACGGGGCGAACAGGATGCTAGACCACTGTGGTACTGCGATACTACTCGGTATCGTGACACTTGGTCTGCTATCATATTGTTTGTAAGATTTTGGTATCGTGACAAGCCTAATCGACTGATAATTCACGACAGAAAATGTAAGTACTTTAAAAAGTACAATGTAACGTTCCATAGGTTCTCTCTTGTTTTGAAGGGACACGGGTGTGAGTGTTTAGTCAAGCTAGTGACGTGTTGTTGGTGTATGTGTCTTGTTCACCTTGGCAGCGTAGCTCCACATGTCGATGCGGTCCTGCAGTCTCTTCTTACACTCTGGCTGCAGACGCACCCTCTTGTCCTGCAGAGCCTCCATCAGACAGGACATCTCTGAGGAGGAACCAACACACACCGTCAGGTAAACAAAGCAAATATATACACATATATACATAAATCGCATACACATATTATCGCAGGTGCAGCGAAATGCTTACGTTTCTAGCTCCAACAGTGCAGTAAGGCCATTCAACACAGAGGAAAAGGGCCAAAGGGGTAAGGGATGTGTGTACTAGGGACAGAGGTGTGTATACAAATTGACTGTGTGTGTGTGCGTGTGTGTTACTCACGGCGTCCTCGTCCTGGTGGGATGGCAGCACAGTGATGTTTGATGTCCAGAGCACATGCTGTGTGGAGGACAGGGTCCACAAAGATGTCTGCCTTACTCTCCTTCAGTATGTTCAACACCTCCTGAAGAGAAAACAGAGAAAGTGGTGAAGAAGAGGGAGTTTATCAGACTATTGACTCCAAGAAAGCGGAACATTGTCAGTTTGAGGAGATGAGAAACACCCACCTTCTTGCAGCCCTCCACTTTGATCTTGAGCAGGTTGACTTTGAGACACTCCTCTACTTGACCCGTCTGTTCCTGGGCCGCAGCCTCCTCTGGACACAGCCGAGAGATCTGACACACACACACACACAGTGTGTTACTCAGTGACTTACCCAATGTGTAAAAAACCTTAACACGTGTGTAAACAGTAGAAATAGTATTGTGCAGGACCGGCCGGCCTACTCACCTCGTCAGTGCAGTGCACCTGCAGCTGAGGGTCCAGTCTGTAGTCCAGAGCTGACTCCTGTAGGATCACCCTGATCTGATCCTCACAGTCAGGAGACAGACGCTGTGGACAACATTACACGTTTAGTACACACACCCAAACAGAGAAATATGCAGAAAAAATTGAAAAACGCCTCAACACAGTAGTAACAAACCCCCCCCAAAAAATGGTGAACGAAATAAAAAGAACCAGTGCCTTCTGACCTGGTCGGCGTATTTGAGTTTGAGGCAGGAGACGACCTGTCCCTCCAGCTCACTGTCTCCTGTAGCCTTGTTTAGGATGCTCTGGCAGAACTTCGGGATGTCAGCCTTACACGACTTCCTCAGCACCGGGTTCAACCTGTAGTCTGGACAGGACACACAGGAGAGGAGACAGGGTGAGAACCCCGGGTTTAGAGACCAGGTGAGAACAAATAATGCACAAATAATACTACAGAGGTGCTGTGTATGCATGCTGGAAGCCATAATCTCTGCTCATATTGTGAGCAGTGGTGGCTGGTGGGAGGAGCTAGAGGACGGGCTCATTGTAACGACTAGAATGAAAGAAATGGAACAGAGTCAAATATGTGGTTTCATATGTTTGATACTGTTCCATTTATTCCATTCCAACGAGCCCGTCTTCCTATAGCTCCTCCCACCAGCCTCCTCTGATTGTGAGCTATAGTGTGTGTGTGTGTGTGTGTGTTCAGTATCTACCTGTGTTCTGTGTGATCTGTCTCTTGGTGATCATCTGTTTACACTTGGGGTCCATCAGCTCACTGTTCTTGTTCTGCTTCAGGCACTGCAGCATGTTCTTGGCATCAGCCTCAGCGCAGAACCGCTGGTAGAGACACAGACAGACAGAACACTATGAAACCCTGATGAAGGCAGTGTAGCTGTCGAAACGTTGGTTGTTATTATAAATGACGTTCATTTCAAGAGAGCCACAGACTATGCAGCTTTTCTCTTGTAAGAGACCAGACTATAAAAACACTGGGAGAGAAGACACATGGGAGAGACCAACATAGACACCACAAGCCACAGTCATCCTGCCTGTATGACAGTTTTACTAACCGCCAGGAACCTCTTCTTCAGAAAATTATAATTACACAAAATACACTAACATTTTATTTCAAATGCAATGTAATCAGCAATCATGGTTTGACTGAGGCGCCTTTGAGCATAGCTACATTGTTGAAGACTTCCTTACAATGTTTGCATTTGCCTTGTGTTTGGACCTGTGTTATGCTAAAACGACTCAGTGAAAAGTACATACCCGGATCATCTGCTTGCAGACCCTCATGAGTTGGTAGTCCAGCTCTGGGTCCATCATCTCTACCTCCTGCAGCTTAAACACCCTGTGGTGACAGCGCTGGGTCAGCTGCCTCTTGTTCTCCTTCAGACACTCGATCACCTATTACAGAGAGAGGGCACTCATCTTCATCGTCACAGTCATCAATAATTATCATGTAGAAATATTATAAATTAAATAAATAAATTGGTCATTTAGCAGACGCTCTTATCCAGAGCGACTTACAGGAGCAATTAGGGTTAAGTGCCTTGCTCAAGATTTTTCACCTAGTCGGCTCGGGGATTAGAACCAGCGACCTTTCGGTTACTGGTACAACGCTCTTAACCACTAAGCTACCTGCCGCCCCATATTACCGTTGCTAAACGCTTTGGTCTAGGGCACGACTGACAAGTGAGGCTGTAGTCAGGCTGATGGGAATCAGATGGAGGGAAATGCGTTTAGAATACTCATTAATAATACTGACCTGTGCGTTCCCGAAGGCCACGTTCTGGCACAGCCTCCCGATGTCCTGCTTACAGGAGTCATAGAGCTCAGGCTCCAGACGGACATCCTCAGACATCTCCAGCTCCTCCACCCTCAGCTGCTTACGACACTTGACAGACACACGCTGCTCCTTCATGTCCTGCAGAGTGTCGTTCCTCACCGTGGTGCTCAGACAGAGCACTACGTCCACCCTGGAGGGAATGTGAGAGAGGGGGAGCGAAATAACGTTTGTTTGACAGTTTGTTCAACTATTTCCGGGTTCTCACTCAGACAGCACTCACTTCTTCTTGATGTTGGGGCAGAGTTTAAGCACGTCATCTTTGCAGGCCATCTTAAACTTGTAGGAGAAACGGAAGTCCTTAATCTGGACCTGAGAGGGAAGAGCAAAAGGAGAAGGAAAGAGCAGAGAAATGGGAGTGAAGCAACGGTCAAGGTCGTGGGTTCAATTCTCGCAAGGATCACACACATACTATGAAGAAAGCGTTTGTTAAGTGGCATATATTATGTTTCAGATCTACACCAGTGTTGGGAGTATTTTTGGAGTTGGCCCACAGACAGACTCACCAGTTGGAAGTGTGTGACGCCCACGGCACACTTGTCGTTCATCTCCTTCTGGTGTTTGTTCTGCACCAGACACTCCATCAGATCCCCCGTGTCGATCTGGTTATCTGCCACCTCCTGGGAGAGAGGGAGAGAGAGAAAGAAAAATAGAAAGTGGTCAGGAGCCAAGACTATAAGGAAAAAGGTTAGAGTACTGATAGAGTCAAAATACAAAGCCATTGAAATGCAGTATATCTCTTGTCCTTATAAGAGTCAGTGAAATCAGTTAAAGATGCACTATGTAGAAATCGTTCCGCCATTTCCTGGTTACAAAAATTCTAATAGTTCGCCTAGTTTCAGTTTATGTGACAAAACATGCAAGTATAGTGTAGAGAATTATTGTACCATCTAAACCGCTGTGAAATATATTTTCCATAACAAGAAATATTGTATTTTCAGCTGTTTGAAGCTGGTGTACAAAACCGAAAGTACAAAAACTAAACTTAAAAACGGGAAGCATAGAAATAGAGCACATAGAACAGATCTACTGCTTCTTTGGCTTGCTTTCAATGAGAATGACCGATCTATAACTCACATTTCTATTTGAATAATGGATCATTTGAAATTCTAGACTCTTGACAGGAGATATATCCCTGTCACTGGAAGTGGAGTTGAAGGGGGGTTGATGGTATGAGAAGCCCTGAGAGAGCGCTCAGGGCTGGGGTAGAGGTAGGACTCACGTGACAGTGGGACTGGATGACTGGCTCACAGGCTCGCATCAGCAGGGTCTCAATCTGAATGTCCTGGTGGGAGGAGAGAAGAACACCCTTTTACCATGTGACCAACCATAGTTCACCACAGCCAGTTCTTCATACAGAGCAGTCAGTCAATGTGTCCCTGGTACTCCTATTTTACCTCAGACTCCAGTTCAGTCAGGTTGCCCACCACATCTCTGCACTCTGACACCAGGTCCTCTAGGTGGTCCTGTAGACACTCCAGCTCCTGGAACACCATAAAATGCCATGTCAGACTTCAATACAGAAAACGTACACCTTGGTTGTGCAATTATTACTGTCCCCCTGATCTACGCCCAATACGGTTGGCCACATGTTATAGTTAAGGAGTATGCAGCATTCTAAATAAAAATGATCACGTCAGCACTTACAGGCTACAATAAAATAGATGGATGATATGATTTAATATGCAAGTGATAAGAATGATGTGTGACAAATAGCAGGTGGTCTCCTCCAGTACCTGTCCAGACTCGGCCTTCTCACTGCACCACTTCCCCAGGTCGGTCATACAGCGTCTCTGCAGCTCCGGGTCCAGCTTCACATCCAGCGCCCTCTGGTGGAGGATACGCTGCACCTCCACTTTACAGTCCCGAGACAGCTAGGTAATATCAAAGAATAGAACTCAACATTATAGAATTCAGGATCAGGGTTTGGGTCAATTCCATTTCAATTCAGTCAATTCCAAGTCAGGCTACTTCCTGAATTGAAATGGAATTGAGGCCAACCCTGTTTAGGATGCAGGACAAGAGACAACCAGGCAGTAGGGGAGATAGGAGCCCAAGAAAGATAAGCAAGTGCCAATGCTAATGGTATGTCCCATCAAAATGAATGATGTGTTTGCTTGTAGTGTACCTTCAGTATATTGATTGGGTGATCACAATACATAATCCCACTGTTGTCAATGAGACCAAGCAACCATTCCAGTCTAATATTCAGAGATTATTCAAATGATAGTTATTTTCATTGAAAGGCTAAAGATCATTCCTGAGTATAGAGACAATTACATTACCGAATTCCACTTCTGACACCAATGACACATTCAACATGTAAAGGTGCGCACTGATACATCAAGCCATTAGATAACTAAATAATTGCATTTTCAGAAATGTGTTCGAATTGACATTCCTCAACAACAAAACATCCATAATTTGCCCTCATTTTGACTAGAATCATCTTCAGGAATCAGAACCCAATCACATCATGATAATCATCACCACTTAACTTACTTACAATGAAACCATGTTTTCCTGTTTGTTCCACTGCATTCCCCTTTTAAAAGGACAACACTTTTAGAATGTACTGAGGACAGATGTATAGTATTTCTAAAGGTCTTAGATCACTTCAGACAATAGTTATTTCTGTGATTATTGTAAGTAAATCTATATCGCTATTCCTCTACATTAGGCACTGATGCGTTTCCTGTGTGCAGTGCGGTGCAGTCAATCATGAGTATATGAAGACATAGAAATATATATGAATGTATGCATGTCTATGGGTGCAGTCCCACCCGCCGTCCCTGCTCCTCTGTGCGGTAGGCGTGGCGGTACAGACAGGAGAAGATGGCGCCGGGTGGCATCATCTCGCTGGTCTCATTCCAGCCGTGGGTGTGGCACAGGCGGGAGGCGTCGCCCTGGCACTTCTTATACAGGATGGGGTCCAGTCTGGGAGACAGAAAGTGTGAGGATCAATCAATCAAATGCATTTAGAATGCCCTTTTTACATCAGCAGTTGTCACAAAGTGATTTACAGTCATCCGGCCTTGACCCCAAAGAGCAAGCAAGAGTACGTCGGAGGAAGCCATACTAGGAAAATGAACACTGACCAGGCATACTAAAAACCCTTATATGGAGCCTGGTCAGGCTCCTATATTAACGTAACAGTGCTTAAAAGGCTTTGAATGTGTAGGATCACCACGTGTGTGGAGGATCACCATAAACTAGTGTTGCCCCTTACTTCCAATCCCGCGCTATGAAGTACTGCAGCTCCAGCAGCCTGTGTTCACAGTCCTCCACCATCTTCTCTGTGTACAGGTGCTCCATCAGACAAGACAGGATCCTACACACGTACAACAAACACACATTACTAGAGCTGTATGTATGACAGATTGTTTTTTTTTTTTTAAATCACTGTTCTAGTAGTTCTCTTTCCTATTATCTTTGTAAAGTGAGCAGGAGAGTGGAAGAGTTTGGCGACTCACATGGGGTCTCCGTTGCGGATGTGTTTGCAGGCGGTCTGGATGACAGACTCACAGGCCTCGTTTAGGGCCCGGTCGATACGGTAGTCTGCCCCAGGGTCTGCCTCTTGGATCAAGGTCTGGAGCTGAGGGGGGGAATAACAACAACCAATCAATCGATAGAAATAAAAGTAGAAAAATAACATTATTTGAAGTGGATACCTGTGTACAGTATGTATTTTCGTTCTGGTCCTTGGCTGCTCTTTAAAAGCTCCACGCTAAATGATTGTGCTCTTAATCTCAGTCTAAATAACGAATCTCCTAATATCTATGGTGAGATTTTGTAGGTGAACTGAACTCACAGCTTTCTGGCAGAGGTTGTCGATGGCGCCCTGGTCTCCTCGGCCTACCCTCATCAAACAGTGCAGGGTGCGTCCCTTGCGGTGGAGGCCGGAGCAGTGGGCCTCGATCTCCCCACGGCAATGCAGCACAATCTCTGGGCTCAGAGAGAAATCCTCCATCAACATCCTCCTGTAGTCCAACATCTCCCCCTGACATTCCCCGCTCACCGTACGACCTGGAACACACACAGGTCAGGAAATGTCATACAGGAACTGCAAGTGGGGCACTTGAAAGACATTTCATTTAATTATCTGGAGAGAAAAACACTAAAAGTAACACCAGTGTGACACCATATGAGAGTTTTGTAGTCCAAATACCAATATAGATTGACAAAACATAAGAGACAGAACAGGTAGACACACAGACATAGGCTAGGAAGACAAGAGCCAGCCCAACCTCTGTGTACGGCAGACTCCAAACAGAGCAGCAGGTAGGAGAGGCGGGCCTCGCGGGCGCGGGGCATGTTGGTGTCTGCGCTGCAGCGATACTTCCTCAGGTCCGTCTTGCAGGCCTTGGCCAGGGAGTAGCTCACCTTGTAGTCCTGGGCGATCAGCTTCTGACGAGTGGTCAGAGCATCTCTGCACTGTGGAGGACAACCACAACACACCACAGCTCTGGTCACAATCACTATCTGACTCATTGACTAATGGCCAGAAGAATGGAAATATAATTACCAGAACAGACAATCCAGTGTTTCCCCTAGGATTTGTGGGCATGGCCAATGGCACTGCCTCAGGCCAAAATTTTAGAGGCCCTCCTCTTGGCCGCAGAGACAACATTTTGCTGTTTTAAAGTAACTGCCCAGTGTTTCCAGATTTCTATGAAATACGACCTATAATTACTTACAATACCAGTGAAACAGTTATTTCCCAAAAATATTAATTGATTGTGTTAAAAAGCAGCTTTTCTGTGTTGGAATGGTGTGGGTGTACCCAAACAACAGAATGGTGTGGGCATATACCGGATTTTGAAGTGTTTTTTCTCCAATTTATACTTTGGCCACAAAACAACATTATTTGTGAGATTTTCACTGGGCAGATACTTTAAAGCTAGTTTCCTGCAATTCTACACATTTTGCAGGGCTCGACATTAACATAAAAAAATATATATAAACGCAACAGGAAACAATTTTACTGAGTTACAGTTCATATAAGGAAATCAGTCAATTGAAACACATTGATTAGGCCCTAATCTATGGATTTTACATGACTGGGCAGGGGTGCAGCCATGGGTGGGCTGGTGTCCCAGGTCTAAAATCAGTCCCTGATTAGAGGGGAACAATGAAAAAAGGCTTGATTCTTTCGACATACTGTAGAGACACGGTTCGTTCAGATCAAATGGTCACAAGACCGGAGCGTGAAGGACAGTGCCTGTTGCGCACCGCACATCACCCACCTTGAATCTGAGCGGAGGCGATCAGCATTTAGAAACTATTTAACCATAAACTTCATAGTTTAAAACCTGGACGCTGTGTCATTTTTTAAGCATGTCTTACCTTGTTTCAAAGTAGCCTAGCCTAGCCAAAATACGACCATAGAAATATTGAGGGAATTATTTTATAAACACACTCATGTTCTATTGGTTTTCAAATCAAAGTTATTTTATTGTCCAGCAGCCAAAGGCATAATCCCAGTCATATTAGTAATATATATTTTAATCTCTGTCACATGAAACCGCTTGCCCGTGCAATGCACTTTTGAGAACAGTGTTTTCCCACTAATTGTATTTTGGAACATTTGTGCGTAGCCTACAGCCATGTGCGCATTGTTGAGCTTATAAAATAAAGAAATACAACTTTAGCAGCATTTTAAGCTAAAACGGTCTGATCTGTTGCATCAGCCTCACTGCTTTTTATTTATTTGTGCAGTCGTATGAATTTTGGATCTGTCGACCCAGAACTTTCCCAGAGTCTGTTTTAAACCGTCCCTAGACATCTTTTTTATTGTCCCAGAGATGACTGGACGCCCTTAATTTCGAGCCCTCGAGGGAATTATTTTATAAAGACATAAGAATTATTATATTTGGTTATAATTGTAATGTTGCAACATTTTATAGGCTACCAACAGTGACCAACCATCCTCCAGGAGAGCCTTAAAAATGGGGCAGTGTTATATTTTGAGACAGGCTGATTATTCAAAGAAGCCAATAGGCAGAGGGTAGCCTACATTTTTGTCTGATTCTCTATGGTAAAAAGGTTAGTAATGCATTATATTTTGTAAAGTGGTTCCTACAACAATGTAAAAATGGTGTTACAGACCATGCAGTCCTACTTGTCAGAAGGACAAGTGGCTAAAAAAGTTAAATGTCAAGCCCTGTTTTAAAATATATAGCTCCATTACTTTTTCTACACACTTCATTTACTGGTTGCTAAAAATCTAATAGTTCGCCTTATTTCAGTTTATGTGACAAAACAAGCAATGTATAGTGTGAAGAATCATTGTACCGTCTAAACCACTGTAAAATACACTACATGACCAAAAGCATGTGGACACCTGCTCATCGAACATCTCATTCCAGAATCATGGGCATTAATATGGAGTTGGTCACCCCTTTCCTGCTTTAACAACCTCCACTAGATGTTGGAACATTGCTGCGGGGACTTAGGCCTGGCTCGCAGTCGGCGTTCCAATTCATCCCAAAGGTGCTCGATGGGCTTGAGGTCAGGGCTTTGTGCAGGCCAGTCAAGTTCTTCCACACCCATCTTGACAAACCATTTCTGTATGGACCTCGCTTTGTGCACGGGGGCATTGTCATGCTGAAACAGGGAAGGGCCTTCCCCAAACTGTTGCCACAAAGTTGGAAGCACAGAATCGTGTAGAACGTCACTGTATGCTGTAGCGTTAAGATTTCCCTTCACTGGAACTAAGGGGCCTAGCCTGAACCATGAAAAACAGCCCCAGACCATTATTCCTCCTCCACCAAACTTTACAGTTGGCACTATGCATTGGGGCAGGTAGCATTCTCCTGGCATCCGCCAAACCCAGATTCGTCCATTAGACTGCCAGATAGTGAAGCGTGATTCATAACTCCAGAGAACGCTTTTTCACTGCTCCCAGAGTCCAATGGCAGCGAGCTTTACACCACTCCAGCTATGCGCTTCAGCACTCGGCAGTCCCGTTCTGTGAGCTTGTGTAGCCTACCACTTCGAGGCTGAGCCGTTGTTGCTCCTAGACATTTCCACTTCACAATAACAGCACTTACAGTTGACCAGGGCAGCTCTAGCAGGGCAGAAATTTTACAGTGCCACGTTGAAAGTCACTAAGCTCTTCAGTAAGGCCATTCTACTGCCAATGTTTGTCTATGGAGATTGCTTGGCTGTGTGCTCGATTTTATACACTTGTCAACAACGGGTGTGGCTGAAATAGCCGAATCCACTAATTTAAAAAGGGATGTCCACATACTTTTGTATATATAGTATATATTTTCAATAACCAAAAATATAGTTTTTTCTACTGTTTGAAGGTGGTGTACAAAACCAAAAGACGCAAAAACGAAACTCAAGAACGGGAAGCACAGAAATAAAGCACATAGAACATATCTACCACTTATTAGACTTGCTTTCAATGAGAATGACAGATCTATAACTAACATTTCCATGTGGATTTGTTAGAGTAGCCCAAAAAGTTCCATATGACCTTTTACCATCCCAAAAATTATTTTGTCAAATATATTTTTGGGAGTGGTGGCCCTGATTTAGCAGAGGCGGCATACCGCTGCTAAATGAATATAGGTGAAAGACTGCATTACCATTTAACTCTGTTCACTTGATTCTACTTTAGCCAACCATGTTGACAAAGTGCCTTGCAATCGGAGCATTATTCATATGGACAAATGACAAGTAGCAGACGATGGATATGATTATTTTGGTAATGACTCTCCATTGGGAAATTCCAACCAGGCTCAACAGTAGAACACGTACCCTTTCAGACATGGCCTCCTCAAACTTGTGATTGAAGAGACACTTGTAAACTCTGCCCTCTCCAGCTGGAGTCTAGAAATCAAAGACAATGGAATTGTGATTCAATTAGCAATAATTTTTCACATTCACAAAGTGACAAATACCTTTCAGTGAGCTGAAGGTTCAACTCTGATAAAAGTATGAATGTATCAAACTTGGAATCTTAATATTATGCCTCTTGAAAGAGACGTGAGGGAATAAGAGGAGGGGGGAGGCAAGGTACTCACGTTTTCACAGAAGCGCTCGCGGTCCTCCCGGCAGGAGAAGTATAGGTATCTGTCCAGGTGGAAGTCGTCTGAGGAAAGTTCGGCCACGCGCATGATGGCCTTCTTACAGTTGGCCCCAATGGCGTGGGCCGCAGGCTGCTCCTCTGCCTCCCTGACCAGACCCTTCTCCAGGCACGCTATCACCTCGCCCTGGGAGTGCACGTCCTTAGGTACATGGGGAGAGTGAGATGGATAGGTTCAAGTTGGCTACAACACTGATGGGCCTTTGTGTATTGATGATGCATCTCTGTGTGAGGCCTGAAGAAGCGTTTGCTCTCAGAGTAGCGCTTTGAATCAGTTATAACGTTTTTCCTTTAAAATGATTTTTGTGTGCAATTTAATATAACACACAACCACAAAAACATACAAACAGCCAGAGGGGAGGGGAGGACAGACGCTAGTAAATATAGAAAAGTTCAATATTTAAAAAAATATATATATATTAATTCAGCGTGATGAGTTATTGCTGTTGTGTTGCCCTGACAACCGGCATTTGCTTTTCGAAGGCATGGTCATTAATCATCTTTTATAAATGAATAATTCATTAGAGGAAGCCAGGATAAAAAATGTGTTTTATTTAACACTGGGAGTATAGGAAGCGTGGAAACAACATTTGTCATCAATCATGGAGGTACAGTGGATATCATAAATACTCACCCCACTTGGATTTTATTTTTTATTTTGTTGTGCTACGAAGTGGGATTGAAATAGATTTAATTGATCTACACAAAATACTCCATAATGTCAAAGTGAAAAGACAATTACACAAATGTTTACAAATTAATAAAAAAATTCTATAACTAAAATATAGTCCTTGCATAAGTACTCACCCCCTTTGATTAGGTAAGCCTAAATTAGTTCAGGAGTAAAACTTGGCTTAACAAATCACATAAGTTACATGGACTGTGTGAAATAATAGGGATTGTACGTATGTACACTACCAGTAAAAAGTTAGGACACACCTACTCATTCAAGTTTATTATTTATGCATAGTCAGTTTAACTCTACCTACATGTACATATTACCTCAATTACCTTGACTAACCGGTGCCCCCGCACATTGACTCTGTACCAGTACCCCCTGTATATAGCCTCCCTACTGTTATTTTATTGCTGTTCTTTAATTATTTGCTATTTTTTATTTATCTATTTTTTCCTTTATTTCACTGTAAGGTCTACACCTGTTGTATTCGGCGCATGTGGCACATTTGTCTGTGATTTATTTATAATTCAAGGCACACTTAACCAGCATGGCTACCACAGCAATACACCATCCCATCTGGTTTGGGCTTAGTGGGACTATCATTTGTTTGACAACAGGACAATGACCCAACACACCTCCAGGCTATGTAAGGGCTATTTTACCAAGAAGGAGAGTGTTGGAGTGCTGCATCAGATGACCTGCCCTCCACAATCCCCCGACCTCAACCCAATTGAGATGATTTGGGATGAGACGGACGGCAGAGTGAAGGAAAAGCAGCCAACAAGTGCTCAGCATGTGGGAACTCCTTCAACACTGTTGGAAAAGCATTCCATGTGAAGCTGGTTGAGAGAATGCCAAGAGTGTCCAAAGCTGTCATCAAGGCAAAGGGTGGCTATTTGAAGAATCTCAAATATAAAATATATTTTGATTTGTTTAACACTTTTTTGGTTACTACATGATTCCATGTGTTCTTTCATAGTTTTGATGTCTTCACTATTATTCTATAACATAGAAAATAGTAAAAATAATGAAAAATCCTTGAATGAGTAGGTGTTCTAAAACGTTTGACCGGTCTGGATAAGAGCGTCTGCTAAATGACGTAAATGTAAATGTAATGTATGTCAGATACTCCAGTGAGTGTAATTGGCTCCAATGAGTGTAATTTGCTAATAGGAATTGAAAAATAAAAGTTGACATAATTAGAAAGAAGATACTCCTCTTTTCTACTGTATGTATGGAATTCAACATTTATTCTGTTTTTTGCTATCGATATTCATAAACACATTGGGAAGAGAAAAAAAAAGTGAACCCATTGCAGTACCTCCGCGGACCCCCGGTTGAATACCCCTGTCTTAGAGTGTTCACACACTTGGTCCCTTTCAAACAATTTATGTGAACTCAGCGCGGTTTTTGTGCCATGTGAATGCTCCAAAAGGAATTCAGACCCCTCAAAAGAACCCTCGAAGCGAACCGAACTGAGACCATCTCGAGAGGTGGTCTGAGTTCGTTTCGCTTGAATTCTGTGGTCCGTTTTTGGATATTGATTATCGATTGTCAAGGAAGCACAGAAATTCCCAAACATTTGTAGAGTTTTGTACCAACACGATGTTCCGATTATTTGTTTGCAATATGTGATCTATTAGGCTAAGAGAGCTTCATAAGCTGTTTATTTGATTGTGGGCTTTGAATAGTGTGAGAAGACAACATCTGGTGAGAATCACAACATAGGTTACAAAATCAATGCAGTAGCCTACATTGGATGTACAATTTTCAATTACATCATTATTACATCTGCAGTTATTCTTCTACTATTTATAATATTTACATGTTATCATCTTCTGATGCATTGTTGGTTAAGGGCTGTAAGTAAGCATTTCACGGTAATGTCTACACCTGTTGTTTTCGGCACATGTGGCAAATACATTTTTATTTTATTTGACTATATACTGAACAAAAATAAGCGCAACATGCAACAATTTCAAAGAGGGCCAGTTCATATAAGGAAATCAGTCAATTTAAATACATTCATTAGGCCCTAATCTATGGATTTCACATGACTGGGAATACACATATGCATCGGTTGGTCACAGACACCTTAAAGAAAAGGAAGGGCATGGATCAGAAAACCAGTCAGTATCTGGTGTGACCACCATTTGCCTCATCCATGAAGAGCACACATCTCAAGCGTGCCAGTGGCCATCGAAGGTGAGCATTTGCCCACTGAAGTCGGTTACGACCCTGGTGAGGACGACGAGCACGCAGATGAGCTTCCCTTAGACGGGTTCTGACAGATTGCGTAGAAATTCTTTGGTTGTGCAAACCCACAGTTTCATCACCTGTCCGGGTGGCTCATCTCAGACCATCCCGCAGGTGAAAAAGCCAGATGTGGAGGTCCTGGGCTGGCGTGGTTACACGTGGTCTGCTGTTGTGAGGTCGGTTGGACGTACTGCCAAATTCTCTAAAACGACTTATGGTAGAGAAATGAACATTCAATTCTCTGCCAACAGCTCTGGTGGACATTCCTGCAGTCACCATTCCAATTGCACGCTCCCTCAAAACTTGAGACATGGGTGGCTTTGGGTTATGTGACAAAACTGCACATTTTAGAGTGGCCTTTAACTGTCCCCAGCACAAGGTGTACCAGTGTAATGATCATGCAGTTTAAAATCAGCTTCTTGATATGCCATACCTGTCAGGTGGATGGATTATCTTGGCAAAGGAGAAATGCTCACTAACAGGGATGTAAACAAATTTGTACACACCATTTTAGAGAAATACGCTTTTTGTGCATATGGAACATTTCTGGGATCTTTTTTGTCAGATCATGAAACATGGGACCAACACTTTACATGTTGCGTTTATATTTTTGTTCAGAATAATTATTACGTCTCATCTTTTAACTAAATGCAATCTATTAGCTTCCAAAATGTAAGTAAGTATATCTAGCTGTCCGATAACACAGAATGGCTTGTCCTGCACTTTGTAAAAACCCAGAGTGCATTGAGTGAATGTTGGAAAAAGATCTTGGTTCCTTTCTAAACATAGCAATGTGAATTCAAAGAGGACTCAAAAGAGGTGAGTCCTCATTCAACGGCAAGGGCAGTGTGAATACAAAGAACAGCGTGTACCCCAGAGTTCACTTTAAAGAGGACAGAGATCAGTTCTTTTAAAGAGGACCATATGTGAAAACACCCTTAGAGACTAACCCAAGAAGACTCACAGCTGTCATCGCTGCCAAAGTTGTTTCTAACATGTATTGACTCAGGGAGGTGAATACTTATATAATCAAGGTATAGTGTTTCATTATTTTATTACTTGAAGAAATGTTCGATTTTTCTCCCCATCCTGACAGTGTATTTTGTGTAGATCGTTGACAAAGAATGACAAATCAATTTTAGTCCCACTTTGTAACAACATGTGAAGAAATCCAAGGGGGGTGAATACTTATAACACCCACTGTAGGTAAGTTTATGACTGTAGGGAGAGCAAATAGACATTGGCCAGGAGACTAGCCTAACACTGGAGCTCAATTAGCACAAAGGAGGAAAACCCGACCACCCTATGCCCAAACCTCATGTAGTCATGTCATGTTTAAATACAAGGTGTCAAATAAAACTGAAAACCAAAGTAACAAATTAGAAACCAGCACAAACAAATGGGCATATCCTGCGCCTGCCTGTTTTTGTGTTACCTCTACATATAGCACAGAGACAGATTCACACAAATCCAAAGTTTGAGCAGCTACTCCAAAAAGGCATCTTGACCAATTCCTGTGGCTTGTTCTATTTTTATAGACCTTATTAGATTTTACAGGTCACTGCAAATTGTACTTGAAAATGTGCAAAGAGACCAGTGTGTATGAAGGCAAGAGCCAGCCTATTACCTTCTCGCCGGTGGAGATGCTGCCACAGTGCAGGGTGTTGATATCCTCGCGACACTTGTCCATGAAGCCACAGATGAGGCGGTAGTCACTGAACACGATGCTGGTCATCTTGATGATGTACTGGTTGCACTGGTACTCTGTGATGTTGCTGCGGTGATCCACCAGGCAGGACACCAAGTAGCCCTTCCCTCTCTCCTCCGCTGCACATTCTTTTATCTGAAGGAAGGAGGAGGAAAGGAAAATGATAGATTGTGTTTCTCAAGGTCACAATATTTTTCTTACTTATATTATACGTAATTCACATAGGAGTCACGGTTTGTTGTAGGACTGCACAATTAATCACATTATTATCGAAATGGCAATATTGACATGTGCAATATCCATATCGCAAGTGGCTTCAATTTTTCAAATGTAACAAGGGTCCCCTGGGAAACTCTGACCAACACTTTGGCTCCTAGATAGATAGCTGGCTAGCTAAAAAGCTAGCAACAAACCAAAATATCGTAGATTGGCATACCCTAAATACATTTTTAAACGGATGAGTTCTTTTGATGTAAAAAAAAATAGAGCAGGTAACGTTGCTATTTGGACCAGGCTGCTGCATGCAGACTGCCATTATTGTGTTTATACTTTTTCATAATAACAAGGACAAGTCGGACAACAACAATAGAACGTTCATGATTTAATGCGTGCCAAAGCCGGTAAAATGAAAGGGGACATTTATACTGAGGGGTTGGCGAGAACTTTAAATACATTACCGCAATCATGACTAAGTCGGTTGGCGGAAATAAAAGTAGAGGCTTTGTTTAACGGCAATACCTTTTAGTCTGCAAAAAGTTGGCAGGTTTTCGTCTTGGTTTGAAAGGGATTTTAGTTTGGACATCAAAGTCCTGTGAACATAGGGATTAAGCCAAAACGAATCCATAATTAAAGAAATGAAAGGAAAAAACTATTAAGAGGCGGACCCCTTTTTTCTGTAATTGAAACATTTCCAGCTAAGTGCATGGGTGCTTTAGGCCTAGTTAACGGTATTCAAAGTGGTGTGTGTTGCTACTAGGTGTTCTACCAATTAAAAGTGCTGTGTGTTGCTAGGTGCCAGGGACAGTGACACTTGTAGCATGAGGGACCTATAGTCAGAGCCATAAAGCTAGCTAGCCAGCCAACTTACATCGGTGATGGTGGACTTGCACACCTCCACAGCCACAGACTCAAACTTGGGGTCAGTCGTCAGGTTCAGTTTGTAGTTCCACAGGAGCTGGAGGAGACATTAGGCATTGAACAAGTTTATTGATAGCTCAGAGAAAAGCCTAGGAGTACAAGGCCACCGTGTGTGGGGAATTTCAGTAGGGGTGTGATAGCCAGTCTGACCACTAGAGGAACTAACAACGCTGTATTAAATCATGACTCACGTTCAGTTACACAAACTGAAAGGGTGGTTTAATGAAGCGAGGGAGAGAGATCAGAACACTTACATGGTTGCAGTCAGCAGCGATCTCCGTTTCCTGGAGAGAGATAAGAGATAAGACAGTCAAACTATGATCATAACCATAAAGAATATAACTTGCAGCCTATTCGCTGCTGCTTTTTCAAAGCCTGTCAGATACTCTAGTGAGTGTGATTGGCTCTACTGAGTGTAATTTGCTCAATATTAGGAGTTGAGAAATAACGTTGACATCATTAGAAAGAAGATATTCTCCTATTTTCTATGTTGTTGGTAGCGATATTCATAAAAACATTAAGATCACTTATTTATTTTTGTATCTTAATTGATCGCTACACAGAATTTTCTCTTCTTTTCTTTCCACGTATTATTTTATTTATATTTTCACAGACCCCCTACAGTAGAGGTCTGCAGACCACAGGGTTGAATAACCCTGTTATGAACTCCGAATGGCGCAGTGGTCTAAGGCTCTGTCGCAGCCGGCCGCGACCGGGTCCAGCGTCAACCAAGGTAGGGGAGGGTTTGGCCGGCAGGGATGTGGGTTCGTTTCACACAGGGGGCCAGTATGCAAAAAAAATTATACATGTATGCATTCACTAACTGTAAGTGACTCTGGATAAGAGCGTCTGCTAAATGACTAAAATGTAAATGTAAATGAACGTATCGTTTAATTTATCGTTATAATTCAGTCAATTTATCATGATATGGATTTGTGTCCATATTGCCCAGCTCTACTAAGCCACACTGATTTATGGATGGGATAGATGAGCTGCCAGGACACTCTGTGTATCCATACTAAACACCTAGGCTACATTTACATTTGACATTTTAGTCATAGGAATACCATATTGCCCCTTTACCAATGCACCCAGAGCTTCTCTGTGCTGTTAAATTCCAATCTACAAAGTCTGTCACATTAGGGCTAAGGACTTCAATCTTGGGAAAAAGTCATTAACCAAAGCCATGGTCAGTGTTTTGTGTGGGACCAACAGGCAAAAATCTCAATTAAAGATGAACTGTTGAACTTTTGTATAATTTTAGCCAGTAGTTTTGAAAGTAGAGCTCACGAGCCAAAAGTGGTCTCCGAAAATTGCGTACTACGTCACAGACTTGAACACAGCGCGCGACACGGTTAGCTATTGTGGCTGGGACCGCGGATTGTCCCGGGCTTGTGGCTGTCTAGATCCCTGCTGTTTGTTGTTGTTTTCAATCTTCCTTGCGACCTGCCCTGTGTGGAACTGTAGGAGTAACAGCGTAACCTACGTTGTTACTATGACAAAAGACCAAAGCCGGCGGGACTATCGTTGAGGACAGTGCTGTCTCTCGATTACAGGTGAAGGATTTTAAACTTACAAAAAAAGTTTTTACAACAACAAGAAAATAGCTTCAAGTGTTTTGTCCAAATACTGTTGGAGTCAACTAATTAAAGAATGGACGACCTGACCAGAGAGTTCCAGGACCTGAAGAACAGTTTGTAGTTCTCCCAGGGTCAGCTCGATGAGTTTCAACAGGAGAACGGCAAGAGTACATCAGTGCTGTATGTGAGTCCATGATAACAATGAAGGAGAAATCTGATTATCTCGAGGGACAATCAAGGTGGAATAACATGGACAGAATATATACTGGCCACTGTATGTATGTACATACAGTACCAGTCAAAGGTTTGGACACACCTACTCATTCAATGTTTTTTCTTTATTTGTACTATTTTCTACATTGTAGAATAATAGTGAAGACATCAAAACTATGAAATAACACATATGGAATCATGTAGTAACCAGAAAAGTGAAACAAATCAAAATATATTTTACATTTGAGATTCTTCAAAAAGCCACCCTTTGCCTTGATGACAGCTTTGCACTCTTGTCATTCTCTCATCCAGCTTCACCTGGAATGCTTTTCCAATAGTCTTGAAGGAGTTCCCACATATGCTGAGAACTTGTTGGCTGCTTTTCCTTCACTCTGCCGTCCGACTCATTCCAAACCATCTCAATTTGGTTGAGGTCGGGTGGCGGTCCTCATGAGAACCAGTTTCATCATAGCGCTTGATGGTTTATGCAACTGCACTTGAAGAATCTTTCAAAGTTGTTGAAATGTTCCGTATTGACTGACCTTCATGTCTTAAAGTAATGATGGACTGTCGTTTCTCTTTGCTTATTTGAGCTGTTCTTGCCATAATATGGACTTGGTCTTTTACCAAATAGGGCTCTCTTCTGTATACCCCGCTACCTTGTCACAACACAACTGATTGGTTCAAACGCATTAAGAAGGAAATAAATTCCACAGATTAACTTTTAAGAAGGCACACCTGTTAATTGAAACGCATTCCAGGTGACTACCTCATGAAGCTGGTTGAGAGAATGCCAAGAGTGTGCAATGCTGTCAAAGGCAAAGGGTGGCTATTTGAAGAATCTCAAATATATTTTGATTTGTTCAACACGTTTTTTGGTTACTACATGATTTCATATATGTGTTATTTCATAGTTTTGATGTCTTCACTATTATTCTACAATGTAGAAAATAAAGTAAAACCCTTGAATGAGTAGGTGTTCTAAAACTTTTGACCAGTAGTGTGTATATGAATAAAATAATTGATATCAATAATTTAATGATGAATAATTCAAAAAAATATATAGATAATTGAAGCCTCCATATGTACTAGGAACCTAAGTGTGACTGAAAAAGTGCCTTAGGCCTTGAAAAAATTTACATTTCACAAATTGAAAGTAAGGGGATATCGGTGAACAAATGCCTTGGTCAAGGGCAAGGCTACGGCGGCGCCAGTGCAATACAGCAGTTCTGCAACATCTTTAATTGAGCCTCTCATTCTCCTTAATTGCCGACATCAACATGTTATGGAAAGAGATTAACTGATAGGAAGCTCTGGGGGCAGGTCGTCTGGATAAAGGACATCTTCACTGTGGGGTTGGTGTTCTTGGGGTGATGAGAGGTGTTGGGTTTGCGCCAGACATGTTTTCCTTGATGGCCAAAAAGCTCAATTTTAGTCTCATCTAACCAGAGTACCTTCTTCCATATGTTTGGGGAGTCTCCCACATGCCTTTTGGCGAACACCAAACGTGTTTGCTTATTTTTTTCTTTAAGCAATGGCTTTTTCTGGCCACTCTTCCGTAAAGCCCAGCTCTGTGGAGTGTACGTCTTAAAGTGGTCCTATGGACAGATACTCCAATCTCTGCTGTGGAGCTTTGCAGCTCCTTCAGGGTTATATTTGGTATCTTTGTTGCCTCTATGATTAATGCCCTCCTTGCCTGGTCCGTGAGTTTCTCTTGGCAGGTTTGCTGTGGTGCCATAATCTTTCAATTTTTTAATAATAGATTTAATGGTGCTCCGTGGGATGTTCAAAGTTTCTGATATTTTTTTATAACCCAACCCTGATCTGTACTTCTCCACAATTTTGTCCCTGACCTGTTTGGAGAGCTCCTTGGTCTTCATGGTGCAACTTGCTTGGTGGTGCCCCTAGCTTAGTGGTGTTGCAGACTCTGGGGCCTTTCAGAACAGGTGCATATACAGTTGAAGTTGGATGTTTACATACACCTTAGCCAAATACATTTAAACTCAGTTTAACATTTAATCCTAGTAAAAAATCCCTGTCTTAGGTCAGTTAGGATCACCACTTTATTTTAAGAATGTGAAATGTCAGAATAATAATAGTAGAGAGAATTATTTATTTCAGCTTTTATTTCTTTCATCACATTCCCAGTGGGTCAGAAGTTTACATACACTCAATTAGTATTTGGTAGCATTGCCTTTAAATTGGTTAACTTGGTTCATACGTTTTGGGTAGCCTTCCACAAGCTTCCCACAATAAGTTGGGTGAATTTTGGCCCATTCCTCCTGACAGAGCTGGTGAGACAGGTTTGTAGGCCTCCTTGGTCACACACACTTTTTCAGTTCTGCCCACACATTTTCTATAGGATTGAGGTCAGGGCTTTGTGATGGCCACTCCAATACATTGACTTTGTTGTCCTTAAGCCATTTTGCCACAACTTTGTCCATTTGGAAGACCCATTTGCGACCAAGCTTTAACTTCCTGACTGATGTCTTGAGATGTTGCTTCAATATATCTACATAAGTTTCCTTCCTTATGATGCCATCTGTTTTGTGAAGTGCACCAGTCCATCCTGCAGCAAAGCACCCCCACAGCATGATGCTGCCACCCCCGTGCTTCACGGTTGGGATGGTGTTCTTCGGCTTGCAAGCACCCCCTTTTTCCTTCAAACACAACAATGGTCATTATGGCCAAACACTTCTATTTTTGTTTCATCAGACCAGAGGACATTTCTCCAAAAAGTACGATCTTTGTCCCCATGTGCATTTGCAAACCGTAGTCTGGCTTTTTTATGGCGGTTTTGGAGCAGTGGCTTCTTCCTTGCTAAGCGGCCTTAAAGGTTATGTCGATATAGGACTCGTTTTACTGTGGATATAGATACTTTTGTACCTTTTTCCTCCAGCATCTTCACAAGGTCTTTTGCCGTTGTTCTGGGATTGATTTGCACTTTTCGCACCAAAGTACGTTCATCTCTAGGAGACAGAACGTGTCTCCTTCCTGAGCGGTATGGCGGCTGTATGGTCCCATGGTGTTTATACTTGCGTACTATTGTTTGTACAGATGAACGTGGTACCTTCAGGCGTTTGAAAATTGCTCCCAAGAATGAACCAGACTTGTGGAGGTCTACACATTTTCTGAGGTCTTGGCTGATTTCTTTTGATTTTCCCATGATGTCAAGCAAAGAGGCACTGAGTTTGAAGGTAGGCCTTGAAATAAATCCACAGGTATTGACTCAAATGATGTCAAT